CAATACACAAGTTTAACACACTTGGAGAGTTTGGTTATTATCAAGGTGTGTTACCTGGGATCAAAGCAGAAGGCATTTTGTCCATCATTCACAAATGTGCTGTGAGTTTCAGTTACTGTGGGCTGTTCGCTGGTATTACCCTGAGAGAGCAGCAGAGACAGGGGGAGATGCAAAATGGCATTAAGATAAACAAACACACATGATAGAAATTAGAAGTACTGCATACTGCACATGGGAGAGAGAATATTACATTATTGTTTTGCTTTTCCTCTGACTCCTCATGGCCTTCTGGCCGGCTGTGGTTGCGGGTAGGCTGGATACACACCACATTGCTGTCCCAGGATGGCGGGCCTACAGGGGGCAGCCTAAGTGGCTGGTCATCTGAGAACTCATCCGCATCATCTGCAGGAGGATTTTCAGAGACACGGCTACTGTAAATAAAAAGTCACTCATCTCTGCAATGTTTAGTGAAGGCTTCTGAAAAGAAAACAAACCTTTTGAGTCCGAGATGGAGTAAGGGTTCCCAAAATGCAGCTTGCTGGGGCTCTGAGAAACCAACAGAGGGGTAGGGGTATCCTGTGCATACGGGACAGGGTACTGCAGGAATAAAGGCACACTGGACTGGAGGTTCTCCAGACTGGTTTTCTCACTGGTCCCCTGATCTCCCTTCCTGCTGCTGCCCTTCTGGAGCTCCTGACGCAAAAGGGGAATTGAAACAATTTCTTCACAACAGCAAAAACCACTGACAAAATTCAGTCCCATCATGTGCATATAGTGAGGACACTTTGTTTTAACATGTCTTTAAGATATAATCTTAATTTCCAGAAAAAAAACTGATTGCATTCACAGCCCAGTACAACCACACACTAACCTGCTGCTGACCATGGAGCAGCTCCACTGGAGCCTAACGCACTGCTTTTTCACTTGTTCCACTCAGATTCTATCCTGCTGGTCTCGTCATGAAACCCGCAGCCTTCCAGACAGAGAAGCTGCTTTTCTAACCTTTAGGGCATCGCGGCCACATATCTGATTCTATCTCAGTGTGGCTCTCCAGCTAAAAAGGCAAAGCCGCACCATCCCAACACAGAGCTGTGACTTTTTTTGGAGGTAGGGGGCTTTTTGTTGTGCTCACAAAAGCAGTTTAATTAACACCTTCATTAAAAAGAATTTTCTCACTTTCAAAGGGAACAGGATTCTGTGTTTTTATGTCAGTAAGAGACGCCAAGTTAATTTACAGTCTAAACCTCAAATTGGGTCATTCTCCTCTTAACTTTAGCAGCATTACCTCAAAGCAACATTTTAGGTCAGTGAGGACCTTGCTGTGGCCTAAAGTAATGGAATGGAAAATAAGAAGTCATTTACTCTGCATCTACAATTAGAGGCATATTAAACACAGACCAGATTGGGAGAGGGGAAAATGGCAGGGGAATGGCACATTTCAGGCAATTTTTAAAATGGAAGGAGTCTATAAAAGAGAAAATGAAAGCTGTCACTAACCCCCTCCAGTTTTTCCTTCTCCTTCATAACAACCACAAGTGTGTCCTTAAGCTCCTTTAGCTCCCGTCCCTTCTCAGCTACCTGGCTCTGTAGAAAGTAAAGGGCACAAAAGCAGAAGAATGAAGAAACACTTTATATACTTAAACTCTTAATGTGCTGCTGATTAAAAAATGTGTAAGTGAAATACAGTCAGACCATAGTGCGTGACGTTAATTGATCACAGCCATAAAAGGCTTCTCTTTGCTGAGGACTGATTTATGCACAATACTGCTCAGAGCAAAACAACCTGCTTGAATCCCTGTGAGACACTAAGCAAATATCCGCCTGACCTGAGCCAAGCACAGCATTAGCCAAGCAACCAGAGATGAGTCCTGTGAGCCAAGCAAGACTTGCTTGTCTCCAGAGCCTGACATAAACAGCAGTAAAATGTTGTCTCACAGATCGTCCCGCTCATAAACAACACTGTCAGAGAAACTGTGTTCAAGGGGAGAGATAGCATCAAAGGCTAGATCCTTGAGCTATACCAGCCATACACAGCGGTAAAAACACAGAAGAGTCCAAATCAGGTCTGCTTTGAAGGAGAGCATCACTGGCAGCTGACAGCTTGGGCTGTGCTAAGTGTCTGCACTCTGCCTACACTAACCTTATAACGATCTTCCTCTGCTGCCAGCTGCAGCTTCAGGTTCTCGTTGGTCTTCAGTTGCTCTTTAAATTTCACTTCCATCTTGGCCAGCTCATCAGCAAACATGCAGCTACGCTCCTTCTCCTCCTAAAGGGCAACACATGATTCAGTTTTCATCACACCACAATATACACAGAGGAGAAAAATAAATGACAAAAACACTGCTCACAAAGTATCAGAGGTGCAGGACCTATAAACAGTCAAAGTAAATAAAAGATTGGTCTGCACCAGCTGAGATTTTTCCACGTACTTCAGCGTGCAATGTAGGGCTGAACGATTATGGAAAATAATCTAATTGCGATTTTTTGCCCCAATATTGCGATTGCGATGCGATA